AAGCTCAAGAGGCTTGTCAGTGAGGCCCTAAGGGACCACAATCCCAAGGGGAGGGGAGACCAGGAAGAGCGGGTGCTCCTCAAGGGAGCAATCCTTGATACACAAGCTAAGGCTATTCCATCCCAGAGGAAAGGCAGCAAGAGGACACAGCAGCCCCCTTGGCTCAACAAGGAACTTGCGGACCTGCTGCATCTAAGAAGACAGACGTACAAAGGATGGAGGAAGGGATCCACCTCCAAGGAGAAATACTCTGGACTGGTCCGGACCTGCAGAGAGCAAACCAGGAAAGCCAAGGCTGCGATGGAACTCGAGCTAGCTACAAGTATCAAGGACAATAAAAGGTCCTTTTTTAGATATGTGGGGAGCCAGAGGAAAAGCAAGGGCAACATTGGACCCCTGCTAAACCATAAGGGAGAACTGATGACCGACACCCAGGAAAAAGGCAACTTACTAAATGGGTACTTTGTGTCAGTCTTTCACATGGGACGTCCCTGCCCATTACGGGACAGGGACACCTGAGTGAGGGTGGTTCTTTGCCCTCCATCAATGCTGACCTCGTGAAGGAACACCTTGAGAGGCTGGACACCTTCAAGTCAGCTGGCACTGACAATTTACACCTCAGAATACTCAAGGAGCTGGCAAGCATCATAGCCCAGCCCCTGGCACAGATCTTCGACAGCTCGTGGCGCTCTGGTTAAGTGCCCAAAGACTGGAAGAAGGCCAATGTGGTGCCTGTCTTCAAGGGAGGGAAGTGGATCCAGCAAACTACAGGCCCATCAGCCTGACCTCTATCTCAGGGAAGGTCTTAGAAAAGATTATCAGAGAGGCCATTCTTAAAGGACTGGCCGATGGCAACACCCTGAGGGATAGCCAGCACGGGTTTGTTGCAGATAGGTCCCACTTGACCAATCTCATTTCCTTTTACAACCGGATGACCTATCACCTGGACAAGGGGAAAGAGATTGATGTCTTATATCTTGACTTTAAAGAAGCCTTCGATCTGATATCCCATGATCACCTTTTGGCAAAACTGGGCAGGTGCAGCCTTGGGTCCACCATGATCCACTGGCTGGGGAACTGGCTTCATGGTTGGACCCAGAGGATGGTGGTTGATGGAAGTCAATCGTCGTGGTGCGCTGTGACCAGTGGGGTCCCTCAAGGCTCTGTCCTTGAACCTATTTTGTTCAACATCTTCATCAATGATGTGGACATTGGAGTCAGAAGTGGGCTGGCCAAGTTCGCCGATGATACCAAACTCTGGGGTGAAGCATCCACACCTGAGGACAGGAGAGCGATCCAGGCTGACCTTGACAGGCTCAGGAAATGGGCAGATGAGAACCTGATGGTGTTTAACACTGAAAAATGCAAGGTTCTCCACCTTTGGAAGAAAAACCTGCAGCATGTCTATAGGCTCAGCACTGCTACGCTGACTAACACTATGGACGAGAGCGACTTGGGGGTCAGGATTGACCACAAGATGAACATGAGCCTTCAATGTGATGTCGCAGCTGGTAAAGCAAGCAAAACCCTGGCTTGCATCCATAGCTGCTTCTCAAGCAAATCCCAAGACATCATTCTCCCCTTGTACTCAGCCTTGGTGAGGCTGCAGCTGCAGTACTGGGTCCAGTTTTGGGCTCCACAATTCGAAAAGGATGTGGAGAAGCTTGAGAGCGTCCAGAGAAGAGCCACGTGCATGATCAGAGGTCAGGAAAACAGACCTTATGATGACAGGCTGAGAGCCATGGGACTTTTCAGCTGGAAAAGTGCAGGCTCAGGGGCAATCTGATGGCCACCTATAAGTTTATCAGGGGTGCTCACCAGAACCTGGGAGAATGTTTGTTCACCAGAACACCCCAAGGGATAACAAGGTCAGAGCACCCCAAGGGATAACAAGGTTAAACCACCACCCTCTGGGTCCAACATTTATAAACTCCTCCACGACCATTTCAGGCTGGTCATAAGGAAGAATTTTTTTACTGGTCTGGAATGGACTGCCGCTGGAGGTGGTTCAAGCACCTACTTTGGAGGGCTTCAAGAGAAACCTGGATGTTTTTCTTGCTGGGATCCTATGACCCCAGCTGACTTCCTGCACCTGGGGCAGGGGGCTGGGCTCGATGATCTTCCAAGGCTTCTTCCAGCCCTAATGTCTATGAAATCTATGAAATACAACTGGAAAAAATATACATAGAAAATTCATTTGGCTAGCAGAAATTCATGGGATAAGAGACAAAAGGGATAAATAGGAGAGATTTGTTTTTTCAAATCTCATTCAATCTTAAAAATTTATGGTGAAACTGTACAGGTAGTGCTTTCTGGAAGAAGATGCATGGTATCCACATAAGCTTCTTATTATGTCATGGGAAAACACCTTATTAAGAGAACCATTCAGAGTATAAAAAAGGAAAAAAAAGCTTTTACTGTAAAGTTCAGAGAAAGGAAGTGACTCAGTGGTTGAAGGAGGGGTGCGTACTAGACAGATGAGACAGCGCAAATGAAATGGTAAACTGCCCTCCTCCACAGATGAGGAGGAGGGAGAGATGGGCAAGAGCAGAGTAGAAGAAGGAAAAAGATAGGTGAATGAAGCAAGTTGCCAGAGAACAATTCTGATGTGTACTCAGAAACTGGTAGGAAGCCAGGAAATAGTGGATGGGAGATTCTAGAGACATGTGCCTCCCAGCAACCCTCTGCCAGGAGGCATGTTTTCTGTGTGTAGCATTGTGCCCTGTAGGATTACTGGATCACTTATAAACTCTTCCAAAGGACACCAGAATGTGAAGAGACATGGAGATTGAGCTCCTCTTGTATCCCAAGCACTGATACCTCTACACCAAGTCTGAGGTGCATTAATGAGACAGTCTGGGGAAGCTTGCTACACTATTGCCTTTTTCATACCTGTTTTGTAGCTGGAAGGCTTCTCTTTCCTAGCTTTTTAAAGCAAACCTCTGGCTACCTCTTTGCCCAAGTTTAAAATTAAGGACAGTATTGTAAAAGCTCTAGGCCAGGCTCTGGAATTGTTAACAAAGTTCTCCATGTTGTTCTAAATTCTTTACTGAAGCTTAAAGGTAAAGTTTTCCCTAACAGCTCCCACTTTTTTGTTTAAAAATAATCAGTATCTGCTTTTAGTAGAGTCCAAAATTAGTAGGGATTTTATTGTTTACTTCACAGGTTGGCCTCCAGCCTCACGTGCAAGATCAGTACAACTCTGGGAATGGGGCTGGATTCAAAAGACACCAGCGGGTATAAAAATAAGTGGAAAAGATTCATTTGCTCATCCACATTAGTGAAATGATTAAACCCAACTCATTAAATTAAATTTGCTCTGCTACTATTTAGGTGATCTGATTAATTTATTTTGTATATTTCTTCCAG